CGGGAGAAGCACGGGGAGAATTGCCGCAGGCTTTACAGCAACACGGGCAAGAAGCACGGTGGGCTGTGGTGGACCTACCTGCTCAGCCTCTTCTTCAAGCTTGTCATAGAGATCCTGTTCCTCTACCTCCTCCACAAGATGTGGGACAGCTTCGACTTGCCAAGGCTGGTCAAGTGCACCAACGTGGACCCCTGCCCCAACACCGTGGACTGCTACATCGCTCGGCCAACCGAGAAGAGAATCTTCACCTATTTCATGGTCGGAGCCTCCTCCATCTGCATCGTCCTCACCGTCTGTGAGATCTTCTACCTCATCTTCAAGCGGATTGTGCGGGGTGCACAGAAGTGGAGGAAGTCCACCAAGCGCTCCATCAGCTACACGAAAGCCTCCAACTGCCGGTACCCCCTCAAGACGGAGGAGAAGGACAAGTCGTCCCTGTCTAGGTCTGTGGCAGCCCTGCGGGCCTCAGCCCCCAGCCTGGCTGCTGGCTGATGGGGTGCTGGGAGGGGAAGAGGGAGGGAGACGTGTCCAGGGATGGCTGGCCCCAGAGATGGCCACCGGTGATGCCACCACCAGACTCTTCATCCAGGACCTCGACGGCTCTAAAGCGGAGGGGGTCACATCCACGGGAACTCTCCTGCCTGGGGCCATGGGCACGTCCCTGGGTGTCCTGGTGGCATGGGCACGCTGGGTGGGTGCTGGCATGCCTGAGGATGTCTGTTCTTTCCACAGAGGAGAGGAGCTGTGAGCTTACCCGTCCCAGCCGGTTCGCCTTCCCCTCAGCCCAGCAGCTTTTCAAGCCTGCCGAGTCCCCAAACCCTTCAGAGTCACCCTGCGTGAGAAACGACATCACCCAACAAAGTCCCCTGCGAGAGGCCCGTGGGTGCCCGAGCAGCACAGGTAAGGCGAGGACAGCCCCGGAGCTCTGCCGGCTGCAGGCGGTGGTGCCGCAGGGCTCGGACATCACACCGACGCACAGACACCGCGCACCACTGCCGAGCAGCCCCACCACGGCAGCCAGCGCCGGCCAGCCCGGGGGCGGGCCCCG